CTGCATGCTTTCTACTCTTGCATGCAAGCTCAAAACACCTCTGACGCGTTGATGTGCAAAATCTTCCCCTCAACTCTTCGAGGTAATGCCTGAACTTGGTATTACAGTTTACCTCCGAGGTCAATTAGCTTTTATACAGAAATGGCATCTGCCTTTGCCACTAAGTTTTCCAATAGAAGGTTGATTAGGAAAATTACTTTTGAACTGATGCGAGTTAAACAGAGGGATGTAGAATCTCTGAAGAACTATATGAGCAGGTTCAATGATGCAGTTTTAGAGGTTAGTTCCTTTGATCAAGCTGTGGGAATTGCAGCTGTGATCTCCGGTCTCAAGCATGACAGGTTCAGAGACAATTTGATCAAACATGCTACCACCACTTTTAGCGAGGTGAACGATAGGTCTATGAAATTTATAACTGTTGATGAGTACGCCTTGGCGCAAAACCCACCTCCCTCTAAGAACTAGCACCCAGATTGGAGAGATGACAATCCGAGCAGGAAAAGGATGAGGATGGCGCAGAACCGAGGTCCGATGTTGACCTCCCCAACGAGATTCGGAAGGACGAACTCAACACCCCCGCAACAATCTGCAGGTAAACCCCCAGTTAATTGGACTCCTTTTAATCTGCCGAGGTCACAAATTTTTATGCAGATCAAGAATAAGATGGATCTAAGGCGTCCTGGCCCAATGAAAACTGCTGCTGCTAATCGAGACCACACCAGATATTGTGATTTTCATCAAGATCATGGCTATACTACAGAGCAGTGCAATAGCTTAAAGTCTGAATAGCCGAGGTTTATTAGAGAACAGAGGCCGCAGCCTCAAGGAGTCCGCAATCCCCCAAATACACAAGGTGTGGGATATCAGCAAGCCCCACCTCCGCTCCCACCCCCAGTTAGAATCATACACATGATTACGGGAGGCCTTGAAGCAGGTGGATTGAGCTCTAAGCAGCGAAAGCTGTATGTCAGAGAGATTAAACATCAAAACCGAGCTCAAAAGCGGAAGATTGACGATGTTGAGTGGAAAAATCAGCCCATTACTTTCACGTCTGCTGATCTCGATATAGTTGTTACACCCCACAATGATCCCTTGGTCACTTCTATCATGATTAATAACTGTGAAGTACAGCGTGTCCTTGTTGACACTGGGAGTGCACCAGACATCATGTACTTCTACTGTTTCGAGAGTTTGGGACTAGATCCAGTATTGTTGCAGAAATATGATGGTCCTATCTATGGCTTTAACAACCAGCCTGTTCCGGTAGAAGGAGTTCTTACCCTCCATGTGGCTTTTGGGAGTGGCAAGACCTATGTGACTCCTTCAGTCCGGTTCCTCGTAGTCAAAATGGCGTCCTCTTTCAACATTGTTATTGGTCGACCCACACTGACTGAAATCCGAGCTGTGGTTTCCCAGTCTCACCTCTGTATGAAGTTCCCAACTCATACGGGAATAGCAACACTACAAGGAAACCAGGAGGTGGCCAGACATTGTTATATCACCTCAGTAACACAACTTACGAAGGGTAAAGATCAGACACCCGAGGCCATTCCTCAACCAATTTCTGATAATCAACAAGTTATGGGTGTTGAGATCGTAGATAATCGACCGGAAGATGAAAACAGAGCTGCTCTGGTCAAAAATGTTGAAGAAGTGCTCATTGATGACAGAGATCCGAGTCGAAAGACGCAGATTGGAACTAGATTGAACCCAGAGGAATGAGCAAAGTTAATAGCTTTTCTCCGAGTTAATAATGATGTATTCGCATGGATTTCGGCAGGTATGCCGGGAATTCCAAATTCAGTGTCTCAACATAAGCTCAACACCAACCCATTAAAGAAACCAGTGGCCCAGAAGCGGCGTCTCTTCAGGGGTGAGAGGCTTCAGGCTATTAAAGAAGAGGTAGAGAAGCTCTTACAGGTTGGTTTTGTCAGGAAAGTTGATTACTGTGAATGGGTGGCCAACCCAGTCCTGGTGAAGAAGGCAAATGGTAAATGGCGAATGTGCATTAATTATACAAATCTTAACCAAGCCTGCCTTAAGGATTGATATCCGATGCCGAGCATTAACAAATTAGTTGAAGCGGCTTCAGGCAATGAGAGGTTAAGCCTCTTGGATGCATATTCAAGGTATGACCAAGTGCCAATGGCTCCTGAAGACGAAGAGAAAACCTCGTTCTATGCTGGCGATGAAATTTATTGTTATGTCATGATGCCGTTCGGCTTAAAGAACGCAGGTGCTACTTATCAGAAAATGGTGTCCATTGTCTTCCGAGCTCAGATCGGCAAGAATCTGGAGGTGTATGTGGATGACATTGTGGTAAAGAGTTTGAAAGCAGAAAACCATCTAACCGACCTCGACGAAACCTTTAATAACCTTAGAAAGAACAGGATGCGGTTAAACCCAGCCAAATGCATCTTCGGAGTGGAGTCTGGAAAGTTTCTAGGTTTCATGGTGTCCCGAAGAGGGATTGAGGTCAATCCAGAGAAGATCAGAGCAATTGCCGATATGGAACCGCCAAAATCAGTAAAAGATATACAGAGGTTAACTGGAAGAGTGGCAGCTCTTCATCGATTCATATCGAAGTCAACAGATAAGTGCCTGCCATTCTTCAAGATTATGAGGTCGGCCGCCCAGAAGGATGAATCAGGAAAACAGAAGAAATTTGAATGGAGTCAGGAGTGCCAAACTACATTCGACGAGCTGAAGTCTTATCTTAGCTTGCCACCTCTATTGACTAAGGCCATCGATGGGAAAATTCTTTATTTGTATCTGGGAATTTCAGATGAAGCCATTAGTTCAGTTCTGGTGCGAGATGAAGCCAAGCAACAAAAACCAATATATTATATTAGCAGTATACTGCACGGAGCAGAGCTGAGGTATCCTATAGCTGAGAAAGCAGCATTAGCAGTTGTCACTTCGGCCAGAAAGTTGAGGCCATATTTCCAGTCACACCCAATTATCGTTCTCACAGAGCAACCTCTTAGGCAGATTTTGCAGAAACCAGAGTGCTCTGGAAGATTAATTAAGTGGGCAATAGAACTGGGGGAGTCTGAGATAATGTTTCAGTAGAGATCAAACATCCGAGCTCAAGCATTAGCAGATTTTATTGTCGAATGTACTCCATGTCCTTCAACCTCTAATCCAGAGCCCAACGACTGGACCTTATATGTTGACGGAGCATCTAGTAGCAAGGGTTCAAGGGCTGGCGCTCTCTTGATTGGTCCAGAGGAATATCGAAGTGAACATGCCCTGAAGTTCAACTTTGATGCGACAAATAACATAGCTGAGTATGAAGCTCTGCTACTTGGTCTACAGTTAGCATTGGAGTTGAAAATCAGTGCAATTCAAGTATACAGTGACTCCCAGTTGATGGTAAACCAAATCAACTCAATCTGCGAAGTTGTTGATCCTGTGATGGTGAAGTATGTAGCCTTGGTGGCCGAGCTGAGGTGCAAATTCCAGAAATTCTGTCTGAGTAAAATTCCCTGAGCTGAGAATGAACAGGCAGATTCACTCTCCAAGTTTGCCTCTAATAGCTCTTTAAGTTCCAGATCCGTTTTTGTGGAGATCTTAGATGAACCAAGCTTTATGAAACCACGGACAATGGAGATTAGCACAGACCTTGACACGCCGAGTTGGACTGATTCAATTATCTCCTTTTTGCGAGATGGAATAGTACCTGAGGACAGGTAGGAGGCAATGAAGTTGAGAAAGAAAGCATCTCAGTATATACTCGTTGATGGGGTCCTGTATAAGAGATCTTTCTCACTCCCTCTTCTACGGTGTTTAAACCCCTATGAAACCGAGTATGCACTTCGGGAGGTACATGAAGGTGTCTACGGGAGCCATGTGGGTGCTAGGACCCTGGCTCACAAAGTCTTAAGGCAAGGATATTACTTGCTAAACATGTACAAAGATGCCACTTACTTTGTTCAGAAATGCCCGAAATGTCAATTCTTTGCACATCTGACCCACCAACTAGCAGAAGCCATTTGCTCAGTGGGGACTAGATCTTTTAAGCCCATTCGTGAAAGGGGTTGGTGGTGTAACCCATCTGGTTGTTGGTGTGGATTATTTTACAAAGTGGGTTGAAACTCGGCCTTTATCTAGTCTTACCTCCAAGAAGGTCGAAGATTTTGTTTTCAGCTCGATCATCTGCAGATATGGGATCCCAAATCAGATTGTTGTCGATAATGGAACTCAATTCAATTGCTCCTCATTCTGAGATTTCTGTTCCAGTTATGGGATCAAGTTACAGTTCACCTCCGTTTATCATCCGGAGTCCAATGGTATGGTTGAATCTGTTAACAAATTCATTTTGGAAGGTAAAAGGTCGAGATTGGAACAGCATAAGGCCAAGTGGGCAGACGAGCTCAACAACGTCTTTTGGGCATACAGAACCACGAGCCGAACTACCACAGGTACCACTTTAAACCGAGTCTATTTGATTAATTTCTATATTATTTTACTTCTTCTGTTACGCTTTACCTTAGAGGAAATATGCATAATGCATAAAGCGCATTCTAAACTTATAACTAACTAAAATAGGTGAAACACCCTACCACTTGGCCTTTGGCACCGAAACAGTCATTCTTGCTGAGATAGGAGTCCCAAGCTTCCGGGTCACCCATTTCGATGAAGGACGAAATGGACAACTGCTTCGGGAAAACCTTGATCTGCTTGCCGAAGTCAGAGAAGAAGCTCGGCTTCGAACTCTTGTATACAAGCAGAAACTAGCCAACTTCTACAATAAATGGGTCCGCCCTCGAACATTCAAAGTAGGAGACCTTGTTCTCAGAAAAGCTGGCCTAACAGGGTTTGAAACTCGTTTTGGCAAACTCGCCCTGAATTGGGAAGGCCTTTATGCCGTGGCCGAAGTGCCACATCTTGGTGCCTATGTCCTCCAAGACGCTGAAGGAAAGAGAGTTCCTAGAGTTTGGAATGTCAATAACTTGAACAAATTTTACCCCTAATAAAATTTTTTCAAGTGATCTATGTCTTACTGTTCTTTACGCTTCTCACTTCGTGTTTGTTAAGATTCATTTTACTTCTTATTCTATGTACCCGAGGTCAATTAGTCCTTTCATTCCTTGAACCTCACATCTGACTAATAAATGTCACTTCACATATGAAGTGCTTTATTTCCTCTCAATTCATTTACAGTGACGTACTTGTTCTTAACTCACTTGAAGAGGTTTCTTTCTCTGTAGTTCGTTTCTGAAGTGATTAACTTCTTTTTATTAACTTTCTTTTTTAAAGTAGTCTCAGTTCTTCTATCAATATACAATAACAAAAAGGCAAACACAAATAAACACATAATTTCAAAAATAAATTTTTATTCAGAATAATATAAGTATTACAAACTGTTTAAATGTCTTTACAAAAAATTAAAAACAAACAAAATTATTTCTCTGCTGGGAGAGGTGGCTCCACTGGCTCCTGCTCAGCTAGAGGAGGTGGCTGTGTTGGCTGCTGCTCGTCTGGCAGAGCAGGTTGCTCATCGTCGGAGGGAATTGGATGAATCTCCACTTCTGGAACTGGTTGGCTCTCATCCACTTCAACTCCCTCCACTCCTGCCTCCATCTTGTCTTCCTCTACCTCTGCCCCTTCTTCCTCCACTGCAACGAACTCGAAGTCGAACTGTGGAGGGAAAACAGCACGTCCGTTTGCATCATCCTCCCACCTCAGTTTAATTTGAGGACGGAAGTCTGTTGACATGCTCTCACCATCTTCCTCCACCCCTTCTTCTTGCTCTCCGAAGGTGATCTTCGGGATATTCTGCCTTCACCTTTTTCCTGCAGTCCGTGAATGCAATGATGGTAGTGGGCAGCCGATATAAGTTGACGATGTTGTCAAACGAGCTGGAGCTGATGAAGTTGCTGATGTGCTCCTTCATTCCATTATGCACCAAGGTCTGCACATTCTCCTTCAGCTCCAAGAAAGCCTCCTTCGTCAGCTTTAGTTCTTGCGCCTGAGCCTCACACTCGCTTTCAGAGATCCTTCGTTTGCTCTCTTCAAAGACGAGCTTGGTGCTCAGGGAAGACCTCTCCTGCTCCAACTACTTCACAGTTGGAACCACCTCATTTAGCGACTCTTGCAGTTCTTTATTTTTCTTTTCCAGCTCCTCCTTCTCCTTCTGCAGCTAGTCAAACTGCCTCTACAAGAGTGAGCGTTCCCTTAGGCTCTCCATGAACTCCTGGGCTAGACCATTCATCCAGCTCGCGCTCTGCAAATCAAAGCAGAAGTTAAGGGAGAAAGAAGAGAAGAAGAAACAGATTAACTAAACAACATCAATAATTTAACATACCTCTAAAACATGCTTCACAACAGATGCTCCCCCGTACCTCAGAGCCTCCTCCCGCGCGTTGTGTTTGTCCACTTCGGGGAAGGTGCTGTTGATGAACCACCTAGCCCTCGTCATGTTCTTCGCCTCGAATAGGCTGCTCTGAGATGTCATTGAGGGAACAAGACCTTTTCCCTTACCGGGAGCTCGTACCTCAGCCCCCTCCTTCAACTGTTTGAGCTCAGGGTTCAGCTCAACAAGAGGAGGCTGAGGTATGAACAGAGGAACCTCATTCCCCCTCTTCTCCTCCACCACCTTCTGCTTCTTCTGCAGTGCCCTCCTCTCCTCCCAACCCTTCCTCTTCAACTGTAGCACCTCCTCCTCCGTCTCAGCTGAAGCCGTGGCCACTACCTCTTTCCTAGCCTTCCCCTCATCCACTTGCTTGGTTGTAGTCTTTGACTTCTTCCTTGGCTTCTTGGGGATGGCCGCTCCTCCAGCAGTGTTTAAGAATTGATCCATTTCAGCTGCAAAGAAAGAAAATACAATATTAATCACAATTCTATACTCTACATTCAGTACTACAATGCAAAATTAAACCAACCTTCACTCAAAGCGCTTGACCCATAGAGCTCAGCAGCTTCTATGCATTGTGTGCTGGTGAGGTCCATTATGTTTAGTAAATCCCCCCCCTTCCTCACCAACTTCCTCACTTCTTCCTCCTCATCCTCATTCAAACTAAACCTATTCTGATTGGCCCTTTTAGCCTTCCAGGAGGCTAGCTCTCTCACCTCGGCATCCCCCCTCCCCCACTCCGTATCATCCACAAAAAAGAATTTTTCCTTCCATCCTTTAATGGATAAAGGACCCGTAGCAAACAAAGACCTACTCTCCCAATTGGCTACCCTAGGGGTGAAATAATACCACCCCTTATCCCTCCTACTACCCCCCTTCAAAACAAAAAAATACTTAAACATATTTACAGTTGGCACACTAATCCCCTGAGCTTGGCAATAAACTAAAAATCCTATTATTACCCTCATAGCATTGGGGACTAATTGTGTCAACCCTATCTTATAATCTAATAACAATCCTACCAGCAACTTAGGAATTGGAAACCTCAACCCCGCTATCAGATAGTAGGAATATATGGGCATCCAATGGTCTCGAGGAGCAGAACACGCTCTCTCCTCTACCCCAGCTGGCCTAACTAACACTCGAGAAGAGATCTCGTAATTTTCCACTAAGTGACCCAGGTTATCCTTGGTCCTTAGTTCAAAACTATACTGCTTCACCTCCTCCACTATCTCCGCATTCACATCATAATCTCTCTCTCCTCTACCCTCTACTTTTACTACGGTAATGGGTATGCTATCTACCCCAACCCCTAACACCTCATTCCTCCCAACCTCCACCACCTCATCTCCTCTCACCCCTTCCACCGTTTTCTCTAAACTAGTTGGAGATGGACTACTCTCTGAGTCCATGCTCCCATAGTCCAAGGGCATCACCTCACTCCCTACTATACTTT